GGCAGGAGAATTGCTTGAACTCAGGGGGTGGAGGTTGCAGTGAGCTGAGATTGTGCCATTGCACTCTAGCCTGGGCGACAAGAGCAAGACTGCACCAAAAAAAATTTTTTAAAAGCCTTAATGCGTATTAGTTCATTTAGCAAACATTTCTTACCCAGTTTGTGCCAAGTACCTAGGTAAACATTGGGTCACATGAAGATGATATTTGCCTTTGAGAAACTTCAGTGAGAGAAAGAGAAATAAGAAATAGTAGAAATAAGTTCAGTGAGAGAAAGAGAAATAAGAAAAATTAAATTAAAACAAAACACTTGGCTGGGCATGGTGGCTCACTTCTGTAATCCCAGCACTTTGGGAGGCTGAAGTGGGTGGATCACCTGAGGTCAGGAGTTCGAGACCAGCCTGGGCAATATGGCAAAACCCCATCTCTACTAAAAATACAAAAAATTAGCTAGGTGTGATGGTGCGCCTATAATCCCAGCTACTCAGGAGGCTGAGGCAGGAGAATTGCTTGAACCCTGGAGGTGGAGGTTGTAGTGAGCCGAGATTGCACCACTGCACTCAGCCTGGGAAACAAGATCAAAACCCTGTCTCAAAAATTAATTAATTAATTAAATAAAACACATTTTCAGAGTTAAGTATTTTGCAGAGTTAAGAGCAATGTGGGGTAAGAGGACAAAGGACAGAGCAAGACTCTGCCAACAGGAATCAGGGAAGGCTTTTACCAAAGAAGGAACAATTACTGGCATGGACTTGAAAGATGGCTAGTTGTGGTTAAGGGTCTAGGGCATATGATCTAGGAATAGATGAAAACTTACAGGCCAGGCATGGTGGCTCACGCCTGTAATCCCAGCACTTTGGGAGGCCGAGGCAGGTGGATCACCTGAGGTCAGGAGTTCGAGATCAGCCTGGTTAACATGGTAAAATCTCGTCTCTACTAAAAATACAAAATTAGCCAGGTGTGGTGGCTCACACCTGTAGTCCCAACTACTCAGGAGGCTAAGGCAGGAGAACAACTTGAACCTAGGAGGTAGACGTTGCAGTGAGCTGAGATCGCCCCACTGCACTCCAGCCTGGGCGACAAGAGTGAAACTCCATCTACCCCCGCCCAAAATAAAAGAAAGAAAACTATCAGATCTATATGAGGTCCTCCAATCCCTTAGAAAGATTATCTTAAGGTGAGTAAAGAATTCAAAACAGGCAGCTTGATCAACTATTAGCACAGAGTACAGCAGAAAATGGCCTTAAGTCATTGTAGAGATTGGAGACTGTAAAAACATAAATCGATATTTAGAGCAACATTTCATTCATTCATTCAATGACAACATTTTGAGTATCCACAACTTATTAAGGACTATTGAAAGAGAACAATAAACAAAACCAATCAATTCTGTCTTCATGGAGCTTACATTCTAGTGCAGGATTCAGACAACAAATATATAACATAATGTTAGAGAAAAGAGCTATAATGAAAAAAAAGCATGGTAAGGAGTAGAAAATGTTGGGGCTACTATTTGAAATATGAGAGTCACTAAAGGACTGACTGAGAAGAAGGTTTCAAGCAGAATCCTGAATGATACAATCTAGGTATTGGGTCAGTTACTCAGCTACACAAATGAGGAAAACACATTTTCAGACTCTGCTGACTTCACCAAACTGGCCCTTCACTAAAGTGATGATTAACTAACCCTTTCCATTTATTTTATCTTGATTATTTGACTATGTGTAATTGGTCCCATGATCAGGCAGGTTAGGATTCAGACTACATACGATTTCCCTACTGATCATTAACTAAGCCCAGGTTTATTTATTAACCAAAGGTCTGTTCTTTCTCTTGTTCCTATGACCTTGTTTACATTTCTCCATGAGTCTCAGCTGGATTTTAGTCTCCTTATAATGTTAAACATAGTATATGTCAAATATGATGGCTCAACCAAGCAGCTAAAGGCAGCAGGCACCAAGCCTTAATTCCCCTTATTCTATCTATCTCTAGTGTGGTGACTGAGAGGCAGGACATTGAAGAAAAATTAAATCTTCAACCAGAAAATGACTAAGGATCATCTTCAGGTTTAGTAAAGGGGCACTTTCAAAAGAATAAGAAGTAAGAATATAGAAAGGGAACAGTGATAAAATATCAAGAAATATGCCAAGGTAGGAATTCTATGAGGCTACAAAATACTCAAAGAGAACTGGGGAGTAGAAAGAAAAAAACAAAGTTTTTACAACTTGACAACTCTCTCAAATGGTTGTCCCGTCTTCTCTCTGCCTTCTACATTCCTATTGCTCCTAACCAAGTCAATTATATGCCAACCTATTATGCATCAAGAAAAGACAAATATTTCCTAAAATTCAGGCAACCAGTTATGAACACTAGATGAAGAGCTAAGTATTACTAAATAGGGTTATTGAAAAGTGAGAATGGGAAACAAGAAATACTCTTATGAACTTAGTGCTATAAGGTAATGGTTGAGAGTTAAACCATCAAACCCATTGTTTGCAGGGTCAGGCCTATATACTCAGAGCAATTTTTAGAAGATGCATCTATCTGCTGAGAAAGATGATAAATCTCTCTAGATAACCGGGCATGGTGGCACATGCCTGTAATCTCAGTTACTCAGGAGGCTGAGGCAGGAGAATCGCTTGAACCTGGGAGGCGGAGGTTATGGTAAGCCGAGATGGCACCACTGCACTCCAGACTGGGCAACATGAGTAAAACTCCATCTTATGA